TTGCACACAAGAGACCACGGAGGAGCATTTGTTGAGGGAGTCGGAGATAACGAACATCATATTAATGCCTCTCTCATTCTCTCTGCTCCGTCCTCTGTTTGTCTGACTCTCTTCTTTTCTTGCTCAGCTCTCTCAATACACGCCTCTCTCCATCCCTCCCTCTATTTGTTTCCAATCTCTCTCTACCACACATCTCTCTCTCTCTCTCTCTCTCCCTATTTCCCTTTTGATGTTGGACTCTCTCAGCCCCTCTCTCACTCGTGCTCTTTAGCTATTTCCTGCTCCTCAGTATCAGAGGGACCAACCCCACCCCTCCACCACCTCCACTCTCTCTTTCTCTCTCTCTTTCTTTTCTATAAACTTTGTGCTGCTGGGCAATTAATCATCTTTCTGAGGACTCGTAATTTTTTATTAAGGAGCGTCTGACCTCAGATATGGGCACCCAGTCCTGTGCCAGCTGGAAATGACATCACCTGTCTCTCCCCCCCACCCCCCATACTCTCTCTTTGTGTAAAATCTCCCCTCTGCCTTTTGCCTTTCATTTTGAAATACCATAAACCCTTTTCTCAACATCCATACTGTCTCTCATTTACTTGGCTTTATATCTCTGCTGCTTGCCCAGATATGCAAATACATAAACAGAACCCCCTCCCTTATTTCAGTAACTTTATTGCCACAACTGCTCATGAAAAGGCAGCTGAGCATTATATACTGAGTGTAATTTGCTGCACAAAAAAGCTCATGAAAATTATCACACGGAGCAACACTTCCCCTGGGATGTTTTTCAAATTGGCAGATGTGGTTTTCACAACAGCCTTTTTTTTTCTCCATGCACTGTAGTTCCCGTGGCGCTGTTTTACCTGCCCCACAACTCTGAGGAACCACGATGCAGGTGTGCAGAGGCAGTAACTGCTTTTAAAGGTCCAGTGTGTAAGATTTAGGTGAAAGGGAACTATTGGCAGAAATTAGAAATAGAATTAGAGTATAATAATCCTTTCCACTAGTTTGTTTCATCTAAATTGTATGAATTGCAATTTTCTTTACCCTAGAAAAGGCCCTTTATATTTAAATACTTTAGATTTACATCGAGGGGGTCCTCTCTACGGAGGCCGCCATGTTTTTTACATTAGTCCAGACTGGACAAACTAAACACTTTTTGAGTTTTTATGACAATTGAAGTCTACCACAGGTACTTTTTCATGTTTGGAAGGGGAGGGTGAGGTGAGGGGTATTCAGTTGCAACATGCTGTACTTTTAACAGGCTTCTCTGTCTCCCTCTCTCTGTCCCGCGGCCTGCTTACAATGCTCCCCTCGGCTATGAACAGAGCGTTATTCTTCTGCTCCAATGCAAAGTGCAGCTGTTTGCTTTACTAGCTGCAGAGAGAGAGCAAATGCTCATTGGGTGGCCACATTATTCTCGTTGTCATGCAGCACAACGTTTGACAGGGACATGCAAATGAGTTATTAGCATTAGCTGGCTAACCTGAGATAACAATTTGGATGCACATGAGAAAGGAGATGAGAAGGTTAGTGTTGGTTTTGCCTGGTGTTTAAGGAGGATGATCGAGGAGGTCATATAGGTTTCATTTGTAAACTTAAGAATTGTTTAACGATTGTTGATTTATTGATCAATAAAATGTTTTAAATCTCACCAACCTTTAGTACTTTAACATAAACTAGAATTACATCTATCTTTTAAAAAAACATGGACAAAACCTGCAAAACAAGGCCGGCACAAAACATCATGGTGGCAAACTGTGATGGCAGAGATAAAAGAGATGGGTGTAACATGGGGGGGTGGCAACACGTAGCCCAAGACAGGCCCAGATTGAGAGAAATGGTTGAAGCCTCATGCCCCACGAGGGAAGATAAGGACGAAATAATTTAGTAATTATTGTCACCCCAAGACAGTCTGTCACATGAATAGTTGATTGACAAAAAGGGTTAGTACTTTAGTTCGTGCATTTTTTAAACAATTTTTTACATAGACAGAAAATGTAATACTTAAACTGAGAAAATGTCCCCAGATAAATTGATTACATGACCGTTTAATTAAAAAAGTTAAGGATTTTAAGAGCTGTTATGTAATAAGAATCATTTGACAAATTTTGCAATGAAGCTCCAGCAAGTCTGGGAATGTTTCCATGATTGAGCTGCTAGAGAGCGAATGAACTGTGGTTAAACAAGAATGCAACACGTACTGATTGTTTCACGGTGCATTGGCTTTAATATTCCAACATGCGTTTCATTCTGCGGCGCATGTGTGTGTGTGTACTTGTGTGTGCGAGAGAGTAAGAGGAAGAGGGGGTTTGTGTATGAAAGTGGGTCTGTTGTTTAATCACTTCATTCATCCCTCACTCCTCATTTGTGTTCATTTGTGTGCTTGTCTAATGAATATTAAGTTTGAGTTGCTCTCGCAGCTCTTTGACAGCAGATTGTAAAGCATTGGTCCAGTATTGCAGGTTTGTTTACATTTCTTACAGCAGGTCATTAGACCCTGCACAAGCCATTTACACATCTATTACTGGGTCATTAACACTCTCCCCCTTCACTCCCTTGCTGCAGGGATCCATTCTCACTGGCTGCTTTGCTGTAACGTATCAGCACACACACTGAAATCTAACATCTACCTCAGTGTCAAGTTACATTGAGTTTTGAATACATTGCTTCTGAGGTCATACATAAGCACACACCTGCAGTGCTTCGAATGCCCAGTTGTGTAATGAAATGAGTTCAGTGACAAGGGGAACTAATCACTGACTATGTTTGCATGGACACCAATAATCTGAGTATTGACCATATTCTGAATAAGACATTACTTTGATAATGTTTATATGAGTTGCGAATAGGTTTTTCCATTCCTATTCAACATTACATATAAACATTATTTGCACTACGTCATAAATCCAACATTCCTGCCTGAATTTCAAAACCGCAGTGTGAAATAGTTCAATGCACGATGCTATCATTCCAATTCATTCTTTTCCCATCTTGTTGAGACTCGAACCAGGGCTTGCATCGTCAAGCAGCTGTTAACTGCAGTATGTCGTTGTCTCAAAGTGCTGTGAAAACTCCATTAGGATGTTATAATGTGATTACGATGTATACATTTCTAATAGAGTGCAGCTCAGGCCTCAGTTTTCTGTACGAACCCAACCGAGCCAAAGGTTTTCTCTGAAGCAGCCAACATAACTGAAACTGACCGATGTATAAATATCATTCAAACTTTTAGACTCCAATTTCCAGATAATGCAAGTAGAGTTGGAATGCTCCACGTGTCTTAATTTGATATTGCTTATTATGAGAATTACCTCATATTGGTTAAGGTAATGAGAAAATGCATATTCAGACAACAGCATTGTCTTACTCAGTTTAATATCAGAATATTGATGTCTATGTAAAAATGCCTATTGACTTACATAAATGTAAGAATTTTATGTTTTTTGTCTGCATTCTATATTTAAACTTAAGGCTTCAAACAGGTGTATCAATGCATCTTCAGCGCTGGGTACGATAGCGAAAGAAATATTAATTTTCAGCTCAGAGACAAAGACTCAGTAGGCATGCAATCTAAGACAGACAGGAAGCTTTTCTGCACAACAGAAATGTAACAAAAACTAGATTTTGAACACCACTGTATCTCAGCTACATATGAAATAAATACAAAGCCATAGTCTTCACTGCCCTGAAAATCTTTATGCATATGAAATTTATTGCCAGGTTAATGTACTGCATAACATTAGTCACAAATTGCTTAGGTGTAATTTCATGGAGACACCGTGAGACAAGTATCCCCGGTGGTTTCACATAAATCATTTGTCCCCCTCAATTAACTCTATCAAGTGTCTGTGACAAACTAAGCCTTCCCAGAACATATGAGCGAGAGTAACAGAGACAAACTCTGCAGTCCTCCGTTCACATGTCACATTCATTCACACTTTTGATAAACGGCAGGCTGAGCTGCAGACCAGTAACTTAATTAGAGATAAATATTCTGTAAGTCACTTGTTCTGAGGCTGGAATAGAGTCATAATTGAAGAAAATAGCTAAATGAATTCATCCAGAAATGTCAGCATGTTGAATAAAATATAATTCTGTCAGCTGATTGTTCAGGAAGCCCTAAAAGCCTGGTTAAGAAACAGCTTAACAACTTAACAACCCGCTCGTGTAGATACATGCTGCACAACATCAGGAGAATGCCTCACCTTCTCACTCAGAAGGCGGCACAGGTTCTGGTCCAGGCTCCCTCCTGGCTGGTCTACCTGCAAGTGCTATCCGACTGCTGCAGCTCATCCAGAATGCAGCAGCTAGACTGGTCTTTAACTTACCTAAGTTCACTCACGATCCTCCGCTCCCTTCACTGGTTACAAGTGGCTGCCAGAATCTGTTTCAAAACACTAGTACTTGAATACCGTGCTGTGAATGCATTGGGTCTGGTCTAAGATGATGTGTAATAACCAATTTAAAAAAAATGTTGCACTTATATGGCACTTACATGTAGCACTTTGTAGTTTGGCTTTTTTTTTAAGCGGATTGTACTCACTTGATTCTTGCTGTTCTGGGTTTGTACCCTCATGGTTGATGCACTTATCGTACGTCACTTTGGATAAAAGCGTTAGCAAAATGAAATGTGATGTAATGTCATTTAAAAGCTTAACGTGGTGGTTTCTGGTTTTGGATCCAGCCTCAGATTAGGTACTCAATTATTTTTTACAGTCAAATCAATTAAGTTAATCATCACTGACAAAGAGTGGCTGCTGCTTGTTGTTGATTATTCTGTGTCTGCACATATCAGAATTAAACCAATGATAAAAATATAAAAACAGTTCAGGCAAACAAAGTGTAATGTATACACTATTATTCATGTGTAAACACTATGCTGTTATTAATAATCTTCCAGACGTATAGTGTGTTAATAATAAAACAGATCTATGTAAAAACTACAAAACCCAGAGGCTTCCGCAATTCAAATCTCTTGACGCTGATTGGCCGGCTCCGAATCCAATCCTCTGGCAGAGACACGTCTCCCAGTCAGAGCATCTTTCCGTCATGGCGGCTGTTTGGGCTAAAACCGTCTCTAACCTGACGGCGCTGTCTGTCTTCTTCCTGCTGCTGCTGAGTCTGCCGCCCGGGGGAGGACAGAAGAAGAAGGAGGTAACGCTTCAACTGTTTGAATTCATTCTCGAAGCGAACATTGTGTTTTTGTCCATGAGAGACGTGGACAGGTTGAGTCTGCCGGTGTGCGTCAAGCTAGTGAGAATGAACAGGAAGTGACTCGGGGCTGAGCTCTGGTCACCGTGTTTGAGGAACAGTTGCTTCTAATATGAATGAAAGAGACACGACGGGCGATTTATTTATTTAAAATACAATCTATTATTCAATTTTTAAATCTAAGATCCACTGCTTCCAGGTGACAGGTTCAGGTGTGACAAGCCTAGCTAGTTAATCCAGTGTCGCTGTCGCACTGTTGGTTTAAACTATCATGTACAGTGTGTTGTGTGCGGAAGCGCCACTAACATATGCTTCGTATTTACACCTTCATCTCTCCCTTGCTTTGATCCTAGCTTCATTACTTACAACAGTATTATCGGCATTATCGCCCGCAAGAGTCTTGTTTGGAAATAAACAGAACAGGAAGTGCTGTGTTGTACTTCTTGTTAGCTTGACAGAAACATCAGCCGATGCTAGCGAGAGGCTCACAATAACCACAGGAGCTAGCTTACCTGCTATCTGCATCAAGGCTGATGCACATCTCCGCAACTCTTTCAATACACTTGTTATAGTAATAGACGCTGTGTTGTTGTGTTTCCACTGCGGAGATAGCGGATTTTTTTAAGCTTCACTGAAAGTGAGCAGGAAGCCGTGGAGCTTTACTTCCTGGTTCTGACATGACACGAGTCTGAAGGGTTGTTTGGTCACATAGAGATTCTGCTCACCTGTATTGAATCAACTGTAGTAAATAAGTCATCGGTAATGGTAGTAATATGGTCCTTTGTGATATGTATTATCAATCAATCGCATTTTATTTTATATGTATAGCCCATATTCACAAATTACAATTTATCTCATGAGGCTGAAACATGTGGGGATCCCTCTCCCACGACAGGGAAGTGCAATAGATGCCACGTATTGGTGATTAGTTTGCTTCTCGAATTATTACAGCAACATGAGTGTGTACTATTTTGTATGGGAGGCCCAAAAGAGAATGAAATATGTTTCTCAGACTGTGGAGGTGAATAAGTTGTAATTATCAGACGGGGCAGTCTTTTAGATTATTACACTGGTATATTAATGTGTCCTAAACGGTTGAAGGCACTATATCTTTCATTCAGGTTCTACTATCATGTATATTTATGTTAATTATTTCATGAAACTTTATTTATAATGGTTTCTCAATAGCTGCTTTCAGATCCCTTACTGAATTTACAGCGAGTAAATGGGGGTGAAATGTTCATGACATTTCGCGCGAAAGACTCAAAAATATTTCCTGGTGAAAAAGTGGTGTCACATATGTAGAAGACACTGACGAAGATGTTTGTGGCGAAAAGAGCTGACAGTGTCTGTGTGTTGTCAAGAAAATCACGTGATCTGTGCACCAGAGTTAATACGTTGCCTCCTGCCTCTGTCTGCTGCACCTGGCTGCTCCACCTCTCACCTGAATAATGCAGAGGATTTGTTGCTTTTGTGAACGCATCTGTGCAGAGAACCTCCTGCTGTGTTGTGCATGTGTTAAAGGCAAACTATGGGTAACACCATAGCCAAATCTCCGCATTTAATTTAGAGATCATGTCTGAAAACGGCTTATGATCATTCTTTAATGCACACTTGCAGAGCAGTTGTCTCACTAAACAGCTTACATGTATAGTCTCACATATTACCTGTGAGTCATGGTTTTGCACATTTGCTGTCATCTAAAATGAGAATTTTCTGTGATTCAAAAACATCAGCTTTTCACACATTTGTGCATCCTCCCCATTGTTGTACCACACTATGGGGCACCTCTCCTCATGCCTTGGGATGGCAAACTGTTGCCAGTTTGTGTGTTGTTGTGTCAGTTTCTGGATTCAGTGTCATAGCTGTGAGTGTGAAGCTGCACCGCCGTCCTCTATCATCCCATGTCTTTTTTTTTTGAAAGCTAGGTTTTTATTTGAGACATCACTACATTTATAAAACTTTGTAGCCAACCATACTGTTATCCTTCAGTAACATAGCAAAAGAAAAAGTTGCCTCACCCTCTAACAACATTGACTGTATATAAAGATTGACTCAACTTCCTCCCACTATCCAGAAAGGGAGCTGTCATGTTGTCCATTTTAATATACTGTCTATGCTTAACACCTGCCTCTCAAATATGCAATGCCTCATCAGCACCTTTCTTGTCAGCCAATTTTGCATATGAATAGAAATTTGACATCAACAAATGGTGGAATGAATAAATAAAGAAATGCATGAGCAAATAAATTACATGACAGGTGAACAAATGCGAGAAAAGGAATGAATAAATGATTTTACGTATCAACAAATGACTGAAGCCGAGCGAAAGACAAAGTTGATGAATAGATGGACCGATTAGCCGCTGATGGAAAAGCATTTGAGTGAGTGAAGGAAAAGAAAGAATAATTGAGAATGCCATATTTGTCCCACAGTTTCCTGTAAACACTTCATTTTATTTATCACTTATTTGATGGCTTTGCATGGTGTAAGTATAATTAATGTGTCACAATCTTGCTTCTTGTACTTAAAACATTTCTCTACTAAAAGAGTGAAATTCTTTGCCAAATGTACCTATTATATAAATCAGGAAGCTCAAGTGTAGACACGGGACATTTTCATTTAGAATGAGTATGTCAAATAAAAAATTGCAATATTTGTACATTTTGTGTATTGCAAAGTAATACAGATCTCAGGATAGTACAAAGAATGGCCAGTATATTAAGTTACATATATTCACATTTTCTAAATGCAAAATCTGTTCTATTGAATGACCAGCATCTATTTATCAATGCTTTGTGGGTAAAATCTTGGCTGTGAATGTCTGAAATTGTTATTGTGTGCAAATTATCAGCAGTGCCTGTTTTTTTTAGGTTATGTGTTGTACTGTCCAGCTTTGCAATGTGCATCACAAATACTGCAGTGAGCATTGTCTGCATTAACTTTTGAAAAACCTTTAACTGCTCTTGTGACTCACAATGTAGTCTTTCTTTTTAATTATTAATTATGATTTTGTTTGTGTATAATCACCTGAAACAAAGAATTGATACATTAAAATGTGCTCTTTATATTGATTTCAAGGGTCCTCTTGCAATCTGCCATGTTGCAGTGCTATGAATGAATAAACCAAACACTGCTTTTTGTTTCATTACTTTACTGAAAGGCCACTGTTAATCCACACAATTGGATCGGGAGAGGTGGAGGGGAGAGTTGGTTGCAGTCTGAGAGCCCACGGATAGATACCGCTAAATCCTACACATCTGGTCTGAAACGTGTGACTGTGTCCCAAGTATTAGATAGGAGTTAGCCACACATACTTACACAAAAAGACACACACACACACACATACACACACACACACACACACACACACACACACACACACATACACACACACACAGAGACAGACAGACATACTATCAATGACCCACAGGAGAGATATTGAGGAGTTATAATGTGAGAAATGTACTTTTCCAGTTGCCTGCCTGAGGCCATGGCAGAGGAGGTGGAAGAGGCAGAGGAAGATCTTATTTAGCTGAAAATGGACAAAATATGGAAGCAGCACTTTGTATTCATCTCACCAACTTCAGCTTTCTCTCATTGCCCTTCATCCTGCCCTGGCCAATGCTAAGCTGTAGGGCTTGGAGACATTGGATACAAGTTATAATAAAGGCTGTCCTGGACTCCTTTAACAGTTAAATCACTATTTAAATCTCAAGTTAGCATTCTCTATTTATTTGTTTTTGGTGTCCCTTTTTCTGTCATTGGTTAATAATTATATAACTAGTATAGTAACTAAATAGTAGTCAATATATATGTTTGATCCGATGTGACAGCTACATGACAGAGTAAACCATGTTTTTTAAATGCGAAGGTCTGAAAGACAGTCTGACACTCTTGACCTTAAAACATTAGTGCCAGGCTTTTGATTTGGTTTTGATGTAATGTAGGAATTGTGGTTTGGATTAATCTGTTGACTTCTTTTATAGTTTTAGTGCTCATTCAACAGATAGAAGCAAAACTGTGTTTAAATATCTATTTCCATTTGTCAAACATTTATGGGGCAGAATTTAAGACTGCCTTCTATCAAGTTGGAGTTTGCCCTTGGTGGCTAATTTGATGTTGTCTCCACACAAAAAAAAAATCCTATTAATCCAAGGCTTACTGTACTGCTGGGATAATAAAGAAATGTAACACAGGTATGGGGTTAGGAAGCACCACTATGCATCAAGTATATTACATAAAAGAATGCTCACTAAGAGCATGTTGACAGGGTAATGTTGCTTCATGGGTTTGCACTGGATTTTCAAATCAGTGCTGTACTGTACAAAACTTCCAGCAAAAGTGTGCTGTATCTCGCTGATGGAAAATAGCATTACTGTTAGAGCCAGGCCCCTGAGCACTGATACTGACAGTATTGGCCAGTGTTATTTATGCCTTAGAAAGTTTAGTGTGTAAGCAAACACAGGAAATATTAGCTTTTTTCACTTTTCCTTTCCTAGGATCTAATCAGGATGGATGTTCTGGTGATAGGTATGAAAATTAAGTCTCAAAGGGGGCAAGGAGAAGTTTAGGATGAAGTTAAGTATTGAGACAGACAGATGGCAAGAAAGGAAGATAAAAATAAATTAAAAGAAATGAAAAATAAGATAGGGCAGCAGTGCTGGACCCCTGCCTTTTTAAATCCTGCAATGTGGCCCTCAGGGGATGGAAGAAATAGTCATGGAGCGCGAAATAATATTTATATCCCTTCAATACTCCCTCGTTCATCACCTCGACTCTGCTAGATATTATATCTAGGTTGTGTTGTGTTTCTGTCTTAAGGCTGACCACAGCACAATGAAAGGACCAATGTAAGCAGTTCCTATACCTAGACACATGGAGTCAGGGGAGGTAAATAGAGAAGAAAGTCCAAGGCAGTGAGTCTGAGGCAAGGAGAATTA